TCCCGGTCTAGGTCGATTGATTTTTGATAGTCTTTCGCTGCCTCCGGGAGCTCACCAAGGATGAAGTGCAGCTGGGCGCGATGGTAGTAGATGTCCGGGTCGTCTTTGTTCTGGGCTACGGCGAGGTCGAAATCATCTGCGGCAGCTTCTCGGTTGCCTACGTACAGAAGGTTAAGTTGTGTTCAAATGTAAAAGGCAAACAGAATAAAAATAGGTGGATAAAATCGCAGCAACTTACCAAGCTCAAGATGTAGGCTCGCCCGTTTGATGTAACTCTGAACTAACGATGGACTAAGTTCGACACTCTTGTTCAAATCTTGTAGGGCTGCTTGCGCATCGCCAGCCAAGTACGTGAATGTAGCACGCATGTTCAGCGCAAGGGCTTCAAACTCGCCTAGGTCTCCTAACTCAAGTGCTTTCTCAAAAGCTCTCGCAGCCTCTTCATAACCATCACTTGTTGGCTTGGACATGGCAAGCAGGCCCTTACGGAGCTGTCCTTTACTGCTCTCCTCGTCCAATTCGACATCCTCACCCAGACCGTCTGGTAGGGGCCTTAGGCGGAAGCTCTGAAGGTAATTGGACACGAATGTAGCGCTGGGGAGTTTCTTCCCCTTCGCTTCCAGGATGGCATGCCCCTTTTGTTCCGCAACTTTCTTCAACAGCCTCTCCACAGCCTGCTTGCTAGATTCCTTAGCGAATCCATCGATAATGCAGCTGGCGGTGTAATCCAGCAGAGCTTCACTGAACTTCCCTAGCTTCTCGTATGCGTTTGCTCGTCGGTTCATAGCTTTTACATATTCATCATCCATAGAGAGAGCGGCAGAAGTGTCCTCCACCACCTTGTCCCATTCACTGAGCGCATTATAACAGGCAGCACGGTTCGAGTAGTATACGGGATCAGGTTTGCAAAGGATAGCTTTCCCGTAGAGTTCAATCGCTCGGTTGTAATCAAGAGATCCAAAGGCTCTGTTTCCGGCGGCTTTCAGCTTTGCAGCGTATGAGGCACGGACCTGAAAGAAGTTCGTATTAGCAAATCGAAACGACCTGTTCTTGGGTGTTTGAAGGCCCGCATTATACCTCAGCTGACAGACTATCAATGGTAGATTCATCGAATTCCGGTATTTCCAGCGCTTCCTCTGGCTTCTTCTGGGTAGCGTCTGTAAGAAATATTTCTATGAGCATTGCACTGTGCTAGAGGGCTTCCCTCAGCGGGGGCTTCTTCTTCTTCTTCTTCTTCTTCTTCTTTTTTTGTGTTTTATTAGGACAACGGGTATAGCTTACTAGACGGAGGGGTAACCTCAGCCTTTTTCTCCTCTTCCGCCTTCTTTTTCTCACGCCGCCTCTCCTTTTTGCTCTTCTTCTTCTCCGTGGGCTGCGTCGAACCGGTAGATCGGCCGGAGTCTGATGTTAAATAATAGACTACGCCAGCGCTCGTGACGACTACGGAAACCCCCGCAATGGTGTACAAGAGCGCTTTATTCTCGGAAGCCCACGTGGAAATGCGGTCCCAAACCGTGGGCGACGACTCCGCGGGAAGGGAAGATCTGTTCAATGCGGCAGCGGCAGCGTTCGCCGGGATGACATGGGCTGGTGGCACGACCTTGTTTGTCGACATTATCGGATCTTATATTTTTTGGCCCGGGGGGGGGGGGGGGGGGAAGGGAGATGAAATTGAAAGTTACAGCACTGGAGAAGGGGTATATTTATGGCAATTGGAATAATCGTTATGAAACAAGATAAATAACAAATTAAAAATGAGTAAAATAGACTTGGGAGAAGCTAGGACAACAGGTATTGATATCCGACAGATGCAGCAAATCAGGAATATCAAACCTAGAATGGAAACACTGCCACAAGAGGAAGAGCAGAGTGTCAGGGAGAAAAAAGAGGTAAAGCGATGACAGAGGTAGGAGGGATATCCAGACTGTGGGGAGGAGGGTGATGATTCCAGAGTCTGGGGGGGGGGGGGGGGGGTGTCTATTCAGCATCTGTTCGATGTTGGTTTGGGAGAATTTGAAGCCCTTTTTTTTTTCCCTCTGCTGTTGCACCACACATTTTAGGTTCTAGTCCTGATTGGGTTAAGGACAAGCAGCAGAATTAGAAGCACCACTCTCATCACGTGGTTCTATCTTCAGAGCGCAAGAAGAAACATACACGAAATGAGAAGAATACTTGAAGTTAATACTTAAAAGAAGAATAAAGTAGGAGGAAGAGAGGGAGGCTGTGGGCGACAGCCAGAGTATACTTCTGATATCTGTAGGATCAGCAACATACAATGGTATATATATATATGTAATATACTCCAGGGGTGTGGAACCCGTCTATCTCTCTCTCAGAAGCTCTCCCATTTTCCCCGATGTCCTTGGCGAGCACAGTCCATACCTCCGTCAGTCTCCACTCCGGGTGATCTTCACTTGGCAAGAGTTCCACAGCTGTGGGATGTGAGGTTCTCGCCATGTTCCTATATGGATGATATGGATGATGGATGGATGACGGATGGATGACGGATTGGATTGAAACAAAACGATCTGGGTAGTTACAAAGAAGTAACATTGACCCCCCCCCCCCCCCAAAAAAAAAAAGAAAAAGAAAAAGAAAAAGAAAAAAGAAAAAAAAAAAGAAACCGGGGACTTTTATCTATACTCAGATCTTGCTTAAACGTTATCTACATGTTACGCAACATATTCAAGAAGCATCAAATACCAACCATATCAAACTTTAACGATGAAATTTCTAGGCAGAAAATTAAGAGAGCAGAGAGAAGGAAAGGGATGAAAAGCTCACGCCCATTTACCCAGCAATCCCATCAAAACCATACCTGCAATCAACCCAAGGAACCCAACAGCCGACTTAACGAACCCTGAATTTCGCAAATCACCATACAACCAGTCGTGACTCCACATATCAATCAGAGCCACCCACGCCAAAATACCGGCCGACAACGCATCCAGTGTTCCAATGGCGATGATGGTGGACCGGTCGTTGCCGTTGAATCTATGCAGCACGCCTAAGCCAATGGCCATGCCCACCGGTGTGATGAGCGAAAACATCAGCGCCATGGTAAGCTTGGATGCGGTCACGGTTGTTTTCAGGTTGGCGATTCGTGCACCCAAGGCCAGGCCCTCGAACATTTGGTGGAAGATAATAACGATGAAGAGGCTGATGTACCCGGAATCACCGGCGAGGACAAGGGTGAGGCCGATTACTGGAAGATTTTCATGAGTCGTCTGGATTGGGAGATTGGGGGATGTAAGGGTGTACAAGAGCGGTCAATATTTACTTACTGATAGAGTGGAAGATGATTCCGGCCTCCATTACCATCACGCTTAGTTTGTCATCTGGTTGAACAAGGGTATGCTGGTGGCCAAGGTTCGTCAACGTGGTCGAGGATGGTTCGTTGTCGCTACCATTGGGGGATTTTGCTTGCGGTATCTTCGATTGAACTTCGCTATTTGGCTCCAACTCTGCATCACCATGGACATGCGGCTTGGAGTCTGGTATCCTGGCAAGAATTATTCGGTTTCCAATGTACTCGACCAGAAACGACAAGAAGATACCAGCCATCACGATTGCAGCTGTGGTTGCTTCGTAGTTCAAGCCCCTCAAGCATCGATTTTGGAATAAGAGTTGTGCATGGGTAAGCAACTGGAGGGTTTTGTTGTGAGCGTGTAATCCTATCAATATAGAAGAATAACATCTCGACATAGAAACATACATGAACAAACGCAGTGGCCACCATGATGCCAGTGCCAAACTGCTTAATGATCGTGAAAACCACTCCATTCAAACTCGAATTGAAAAATCGAGCCCATAGAATCGGGCCAAAGACGGCTATGCCGCTGGTAGCTAGGATAGCGAATAGAGATCCAATTCGAAGAGGTACATTATAGTTCCGATCTCTTCGTTCACAAGATACTGGGGCTGAGTTATCGGCGTCACCGCTGCAATGCCTAAAATACGTCAATGAATGAATCTGAGTTGTCTGAGTTCATAGCACATACTCTACACCGCCATGGAAATGGCACGATGGCATCTTGCCCTGACCATGTCCATGCTGGCCCGCGCCCGATGTTTGAGAAGGCATAAGTACTTTAACCTCATGGCCGCTTTCACCTACGCAGAATCTGCAATGGGACTTAGTACTGTACATGCAAACATTGGATCTGGGGGTCATATAGAACTACGAACCTATCAGTTCCATGCATATGGCAATTTGTAAATTGTGCAGGTACTGGCGTAGTAGGCGTTCCGAGAGCTGAGACCTCAACCTCATCCCCATTACCCTGAACACAAAATCTGGCAGAAAAAAATCAGCTATTGATTCTCACAATCCTTCCTTCCGCTTTCCATTATGTTATTTCGACATTTGTTATGGGGCGTCTAAACTCGGGGAGACAAGAAAAACCTACGTCTGTGGTCCATGCGTATGGCAACTAGTAATTGCCGTTGTTTGAGGAGGCCCGGTGGTGGTGGTTATGTTGGACTGGCTTGTTTGTGGAGTCATAGAGGTCATTGATGTAGAGACGGGGACCTCCGTCCCATCCTGTCCAACGCAAAACCTAAGCGCGGAATTTGGCATTAGAGATATGTAAGGGCAGCTGAATTGAGAAAGGGGTCAGCGCACAATGTGCTCCCATGGTTATGGCAGTCCGAGAGAGATTGCGAAGAAGCCAGCAAACTGCTTGACAACAATAGACTGACGCCTAGGGCTACACCGGCGGAGACCATCTTGCTCCCCCACAGCACTCGAAGGTGAAATAATGTGGTATTTTGGGGGCGAAGTTGCCTTGGAATTCAGGTCGTTAAAAATCCCAATTCTTGAATACGAACCACGCAGTCGATTCGCTTCAGAAATATATATTGTTCTTGGAAAAAGAAGCCTAAAATGAAAGATTTGTATAGAATTGTTATAGAGAAATAAAATAAAAGCACAACTCTTATAGGGAAAAAAAAAAAAAAAAATTAAATATCGGAATGACCAAGGTAGGTAACAAGGGAGCAACAAACACCTTCTTGTACAGGAGGGGTTTATCAAAAAAAGGAACACTTGAACCCGCAGGGGACGCAAAGGACATTTATATCTGTCATCGCCAGCCCTAAGGATGAAAAGAACAGTTCCTAATTGTATCTCCTAGGGAATCCCTAGAACATAATCTAACCTGGAAGCAGAGAACCAACACCCCACGAGGACCTTGGAGGCACAGCAGCAAATTTTGCTGGGTTCTTGGCCGGGCATCAGAGGAGATTGCGGCTCGAGCGGGGCGTAGGAGAATTTGCTCAACAAGTGGCTGTGTGGCCCGCAAGGTTAACGGCCAACGCCAGAGAGGGATTCCAATTTGAATGTTGTGTATGTCAGTATATACTTGCGGTCGAGGCGGATAGGGCCCCAATGGGGAATCCCGAATCGCCCTCCACTAAGCAGACAAAGATTTTCAACACTGATGATGGCGGCTATAGGCAAGACTTGGAGGGGCCTCATGTTGGCACAGCTTCCTGCTCAATGTCCCCCATCCTCTGCGTGGCATGTACGGTACGTACTGCACATAACCCACATCCATGGATTCACCCTCTGTTGTTATCGTAGCAAAATTTTTAAAGAGGAAACCTAACCTCTCACTAGAGTTTGGGAGAGACCATAACGTTAACTACAAGTTATGTTTGTGCTGACTCAAACCTTGGGGCGTCATAACACGGAAAAGAGTTAACGATGGTGTGAGCACAAGAGTCATGAGGTCGAATGAGCTTAATAACTGCCAGCCGAAGATCTGAACTATATATAGGGTGGCACGTGATTAGGTAACTGGCTGCTGTTGTGCCTGCCTGTGGGTGTAACTCTGGCATTGATCTATCTCATCTTCATCAGTTTGCTCAAAAGCTTGGGTTTGTTTACGTTCAATGTTGTCAACACGGCTCCCTTCACAACAACGGAAGAAATCGCTGGTGCCAACCCAATAACTAATATCCATATATTATTCTGGCCTCCCCTCTCGCGCGACAAAAGGCGGGGAGTAATTACAATCAAGGCCATAACTATGCATATGGCTGTAGAACAGATCGATCAAGTGTTCACTTCTTCCAGATCAAGCCAGAGCTGTGTATCAGCTTGTTTCACTAAATATAGAAAGGCAGCTGGGAATGAAAATCGGGTGTCTCAGCGCATATTTATTTGTCAGGATCTAGTCGAAAATAAACGCGGAAAAGCCATGAGAGATACTCTAGGTATGACATGGTGGTGTTTAGCGTTTAGTTAGTTACGGGAGAGCTTCCGTTATCTGAGATAGGTAGGCTTACTATTATTGTGCTCACCGGGTGGAATAACGCAGTATCACCAGATACATCTCTTATATATAGTTCAAAGTGTTCAATTTTAACTGTAGTTATCCATAGCAACAAACCATGTTTATTAAAAATTAGACTATTAGGATTAGAACTTCTTATTCTGGTATGTTCAATGGTGACCCCAGTTGCTGCAAACTCTGTGAAGCTTGTAATTGCGTGATGGGAGCTTCAAGTTTTTTTCAATTAACAATCATGCTTTCATTTAGCAGGGTAACTAGTTTGTGTATGGGGGGGGGGAGGAGTAAGTCTTTGAGCTTCTTCTCATGTAAGACCTTTTCTATGTTGAACTAATTTCTGAATCTTGTATGTTTTACTTCTTCTCATTGAAAGTAGTTGTTATATTCTGACATTACTTCTTTGTATCTGAAGTAATTACCATTTCATACTTATGAATTTTAAAAATTTGATTAAATCTTATTTTAAATGCTTCAGATGAGTTCAACAATCTTGATCAAATAGTTGTATAACTTTTCTTGCTGTCTTTGCAATTGATAAGTAATCATAGATAACTTAAGATGACTGCGAGTTGCTGAATTAACCTCTTAGAGAGATGGATGTATGAAGCTGAATCTGGTTCCGAAGTTCTGTACAACGCTTGATTAGAATGAAACCCAAGGGCTTGCCAACCCAGGACCTGGTGGAGGAAGATGGGATCTCGTACGGCAAGGAGATGATTTTTCCATATCTCATTGGAAATAAAGTCTTAGGGGCAATCCCCCTTTGGCCAGGCCTGCACCCGTTGAATAAGGATTTCCTCTTCAGCTTCAGTCAACTGGTGTGAATTTGCGGGTAAGATCGTACGTCCAGGATGTCCATTCAACCTGTATAGAGGCAAGAGCAGAGAGTATGGAATTGTTATCACAGCCTTGCTGCTTCGCGGATAGAAGTAATATGTTTTTTTTTCTTTTATTTGTTTCAAGGTAGTAATTGCAATTTCCATTCCCCTCTAATTTTGGAGAGATTTTATTTTTATTTCCATCGAGAGTTGGTAGCACTCCGACGTGTCAAGTGGATAGATAGATTGGTTGCATGTTTCGTAGTTAGTTACCTACATTTGCCCATGGTAACTAGTTAATGTAGTTAAGCCACCCCCCCCTCTCCAAGCTCGACAAATTTTTTTAAATTAAGCAACGACCACTAGGGTTCATATGTAGAAATTATACAGGATATATATGCTCTTGGGCCTGTGAGCAGCCAGGAGCTCTCTATGTCCTGTACTACCATATTTCCTACAGTGTGCTGGTGCTCGCTTTCGAGTCCCTCAGGGGATTTGAATCCTTCAACCGACCCCTCAACAAGCCGATTGGTAGTTATCTGTTAGGACATTTAATCTTGCTGCTCTGCCGTTCCAACTGAGTCACATTGCCAGGGTCCAGGTTTTGCCGGGATCCGTGAGCTGACCCTGGGGCGGGGGGGGGGGGGGGGGAATAAGGAGTATGGAGTTGAGTATGTAGTCGAGTGAGAACCTCATCTGGACTGAATTGCAATAGGCCCCTCTGACTTTGAATCAGTTTCTTATAGAAGTAGGTTATGCCTGGCTGCTGCGAGCTGACTAAGAATTCCTCCTTGTCAATATGATTGATCCCTAATCTCATGCTTTGCTTCAGCTCTTGCCATGCATTCTCTTTATGATGAAAAGCAGCTCACATCTAGTGGCTACAGCAGATGAGAAAAATGAGGAGGCATGTGTAAGGCTATTATATTGTGATCCAGGCAGAATTTGTCAAATTCAGCTGTAGTGTGAATGCCACGTCCATCCATAATCAGCAGCAGTCAATATCTGCCAATTGTACGAGCCTCAGTATATCTGTTGAATACCTCGCAGCCATGTCAAGCCAAGCTCATCCGTAGTCCAGCCCTTGTCGCTAAACAGCAATTACCCACTCAGCCAGCTGCTGCTGCTCATCCCATGAGCTTTGATGAGGCTTTGTCCCTTCAGGATAATCATGGAGAGGCAGAGCAGCCCCATCCCGCAGCATTGACTTCCTCAATCACAGTTGCACATTCTCTATTCCCTGGCTGTACAAGAGCTGGGTTGCTCTCTCTCTCAGTTCTGGTCACTACTAGAGCTGCTGAGACGACTCCCATTAGAAAGCCAACCTCATCAAAGTTGTACATATCCTCCGGCCACAATGCCCATGCTTCTTTATAGCATTGACCACCAATCTAAACCACTCACGCAAGAGCTTTGAATCCTCGCATAAATCTCACTGATAGTCGTGTTTGCGTGAGAATCTAGTCTCTAGTTCAGAGTGCCGTTTTATATATCTGTTGATCAGTTGATTCATATACGGGATCCGGGCTCTGCAAGTAGTAGATTGGCCATCTCTCGTACAATCGCGGTTCAGGGAGGTTGTCCTCTCTCATTCTTGGATATCATACATTGAACTAGAGATTCTTCTTTCTGTAGAGGTAAAAATTTTTGACGCTTTGGTTGAGAATTGCGCATCACATTCGACCGCATGACTAGAGCGAGACGTAGGAGTAGTTACCGTACGTCTTAGCAGCAGCTCGAATAGATAGAATTTGCTTGGTGTTTCAGGCTCTAGCAAATAAAAGAAATCCCCTCTTGGTTAGAAACTTCTTTGCTAGAGCATATTTATTCAATAATATATTCTGGATATAGAGAATGTTGATCTGGTGGATTACGTAACAAAACTGTGGCTTTAGTTATCCAGTATCTAAAACTGGAAGAATTCCGCCTCCGGGGCTTGCAAAATGGATTCCAAATAATCCACTCATTATTTATTCTCTCACAACAATTGATGTCAACCATGTTTAAAACACACAACGTCCGAAACGACATGTCCAACAATCCACGGTACTAAAATATCTGGAATGAGGAAATACTGTGTCTCCTACGGAGTACAGCGACTCCAATCCATTATTAAGGGGGCGCTGCCTGTTCCAACCGATCGCATTGGTCTGAACCGTAATAATATGGACCGTCAAAGGCGGCGGGGCTTCGTAACATAAGATTAGCCAAAGAAAAAAGTAGAATATGGTGACGGGATGGGAGCTGGAGAAAGAGAAGAGAAGCCATGCTAATAGCACCCATTCAAGAGGAATCCTATCAGATGGGTTGTTGGGACAAAAAATTAAGTAGTTCTCCCATAGGGGGAATCGAACCCCCGGCTAGCGTGTGAGAGACGCTGATGTTAGCCACTACACCATATGGGATGTGATTAATGATTCATTCTGGACGCAGCCATACATCAGGGCAGTGACAATGGACTGACACCGATTGAACAATGTTTACTTTTGCCCTTCACTCATCTTCTTGATGCTTCTTCCCTGCGGCTTTTCCATGTTTCGGCTGCGTTAGCTGTCCTCCATCTCAAAAGTGCCAAGCTGACTATCTATCGTGATGAAGAGTGTTGCGCTGTTTGGCTCTCCTTCCATCCGTTGGTACACACTGGTATGTAGCTATGGCACCCACCGTTAGGTGGAACCCCATGTCGTATCGAGTTCAACGATGTCAGCCTGGGTTATTCAGATGCGCTCAACCTGTGAAGAAGTGCTTCGTCCGGAGTCTTCGACATGGTTAGCCACCAAGTTTCTTTGCTATCCAGTCCATGTATAACTAGATAACTAACTAGTTATACATAGCTGCGTGTGTCAGAGCAAAGGGAAAACGTCTTGAAAATTCATCCGTAGCTCATCTCTCTATGTTTCACCCACAACGCAATGAGATATTCATACTATATATTAAACATTAAATTACATATAGTATAGACCATATAAATATACATGATTAATTCATAGAATTGTTACTTGGCTTAATAATCCGCCCGAAACAGGAAACTCGCGATTTTCAAACATTTCAATTAGGCGCAGGCATGGAAGAGCGTGAAGGGGAAATACGAATTAACTCCGCAAGAGATAGCTGCATGCAGGTCTGATTAGTTACCGCTCTGGACAGGCTGTGACTATAGGGGCTGATGGGTGTTTTGATATCGCCATCGTCTTCGTAGGCTCTTTGGCGCCTGTGCCCGTTCCTGCTTCGCTAATCTCGTAGAGCTGCACGCGATTCCTTCTCTTGTTGCTGTTGGATCTTCTGTTGCTCCCTCTGTTCGTTCTCTGTAAGCTGTTTAGCCGCTGCAGCTGTTTTCGCCTTCTCCTGGTGTCGTGGCAGCTTCTACAGAGTCCGCCTCATGTTGCACTTTCTGTTCAGCGAGTTCTAACTGCTTCTCCCCCTGAGAATAGCATGTTGAAGCTTGGATTCCTCTTTGTATGAGCATAGCCATTTCGATTTTTGCAGCTTTATCTGTGTCAGCTTGCTCTTACGGCCTCCCCCATAGTAGGTGAGAAGAACTGCGCCAGCAGAGGATTTTGATGGATCAAGTAATTCTATACAATTACTGCGTTTCCTTCGCCTCTTTTCAATTTTTTTTAGAGCTGTGTAGAGATTGTTAATCTCTATTAAGAGAATCCCTTGATTCAGAGCAAAATTCTCCCTGTTACGAAGAATTTTGTAAATACAACTAAAAGCTGATGGTGGCGCTGGTTTACCCGCTTTATGTTGCCTTGTAGAGCTTGTATTGACGTAGTAGTGCGCTGCTGGACCACCTCAGGGGGGTTCAATGTGGTTGAATCGCTTTAAGAACAACGGTTGTTTTAATGGATATATGCCAGTGGCAGCGAATGCGGATCTAACATTTTCTGGTGCAGTAGAGGCCTCCCATGAGGAGCGGAAAAACTGTCAGAAACCTCGTTTTCTAGAGCGCATACAGCTGTAGCCAGCCTGTGTATGAGAATCTAGCTGCTCTGAATAGGCCTTTGCCAACGGTCCAAATATTCCAACACTTAGGGCTGTAGATGCTTTAGATGGTGAGTAGAGAGGGGAGAAAGGACTGCAAGCAATATTTGATTCTAGTCGGTGTAGTTGATGAAGGCCATATTATATGACATGAATGGCTGTCTATTTAATATCAGCAGTCGGCTCAGCACCGCCCAGCCTTCTTCGTTTGTATGGACGTCAAACACCTCTCTAAGCCAAACTTGGCTGTATTCATCATTGCTACATCCATTCTCTGAAGCAGTGAAAAAGGCCTGATCTCTTTTAGGGTCAAAACCGGGCCAGCCAGATATCTTGCATGTCCCTGGAATTCCCACGGGATATGAGAGCCGGCGGAATAACAGTGCCGTCAGCGCAAATGCCAGCTAAGAGAAAGATGGACTCCCTGCTACCGCCCTGCACCGTACCAAATGTATGTTTTCGTTAGAGGGCTTCTGTGGAGATGGTTCGCTTGAGAGGACGTAGCTAGGCCAAGAAGGTGGCCTTTTTTGTCAAAATTATAGTGTTCTCCGACAGAATATTACACGGTGTGATATTCTCCTGCAGCTATCGATGGATATCAGTCAAAACCTCATGGAATTGAACACGACAAAAAGAAATAAATAAATAAGTAAATAAACAAACTAATAAATAAAATAACGATGGTAAAGAAGTGGTCAAAATGGTGGCTGTTATTCGCCTGCATCCTCAAGCACGGAAGATAAAGTTATGCTTTTTAGCTTGTTCTTTATGGCATGGCGTTCACAGAAGTAAGATACCTGTGATTTCTACTGTCATTTTAGCGATCTCAAGCATGAAATTTCGTCGGATTTGAGGCATCACAGCGAAGAAGCCACAGCCGGCCAACCGGTTGATATGCAATAGAAGGCGTCGTTCTCCAGGAGTTAGGGGTGGGATTCTGACAGCAAGTTGATGTTGCCTCTGATCTGGAGGCCTGTTGACCTTTGAACCACCACCTCAACATAACTAAAATCCCAACTATATCATCTCTTCACTGATGGGTAGTTAGTCAGTGAGTGGGGTTGATTAAAATGCAAAAGCATGCGTTTGTTGGGTGATGAATCACTTTAAGCATGTTGGCTTGAGGCTGACTACATAGTTAACTATATAACCAGCACCTGATGCCGCTTCGCAAAGGGTGAATCCTACTTCTCTGCGACCAACCAAAGGTTGATGCATGCATTTTTCATATTAAACTAACTAACTAGTTAACTAGTTAAGCAACAGGCCCGTTTAGTCAGACGAATGTTAAGTCCAACACATGGAAATGCCATATTGACTTGGGGTCAAGTGATTCATGAGAGCAGGACATATCGAGCTGCATGGATGGGCTCGGGTTTTATTGGTTGACTCCAATGGGCTTCTCCGACGGGTGGACGATAACTGGTCATGATTCAAATGATCTTCTGCTGGGCAACGCAAGTATCTATGTTGGTCGCATCATGGGCATCAAGCGTTCGTTAGTGGATGCCTCTTACCATAATATCAGAGTTGGGATCGCGGTGTTTTCGTCGTAATTCATCTCTTTACGAATTCATCGCCAAAGTTTCAGTGAAGACATTCAAGTAAATAAGTGGATACGCGTCTTCTATGGTCCAATCCTTCTGCTGCACAATTACTTATATACTAACAAATGCACAGTGAAGCTCAGAATTCCACACAAAGCAGACAAGGGACCGAGTCGTCCGATATTTCGTTAGCAGCTACTCCGCGTATCTAGCGGATGCCCATATACCGGCATATGCCAGCCGGATGGCGACACCGGCGCGGCGAGCAAGAGCCAATGTGACGCTTTGATATCAATCGAGATGAGATATGGATAACTAAGGTGAACATGGGTCTCAGCGGGTTTTACCGGGCAGAACAGATAACTAGGTATAGCACTCACATCCAAATTTTCAGAGGTCAAACCCCCATAACTGTGGCTTTCGAATAGGACCTTGTGAGTGAATTCTCCGTATTTCCCCGCCCTTGTTCTCGTAGCTCACGACTCACGAGCAGTGGGACTGTTCTGACTCCTGACTGGCTTCAGACCGTCGGTCTCAGGTGGGCTGGCAACCGTCGACTTAAATTAGGTCGCAAGCTAAACACCCACCGCCTCGCGTCGTTGGCTAGTTACTCCCAGCCAGCCATCGTTCTCCGGGTTGAGAATCCCACTTGCATGCTTTTTCGCCGGAGTGGCTGTCATAGCCTCCTCTGCTGAAGTCTCATAACTGATTTCAAACTGTGAAGAATTTCTTGTCTGTTGATGACATCTGGAATTTCAACACTTGATCGCTTCATGTGGATTCCTCTTGGAAACTGGGAAGAGTTGCTCGTTTGACAGCTTGATTTATTTTCCAATCATCCACCAAGCTCAGGTTGTCTTGAGCGGGATATATAGCGATGATAGTGGAGGTAACTCCTGGGTCCTTTGGAGACCGGTAAGAACAGTAACCGATCCGAATCCCCTTCGAACCATTCAACCCTCCCAACACAATGGAGTTAAACAAGAGACGGGTTCCCTTGGATAAGCGGAAACGAACGGAGATCAGCTGTGACAAGTGTAAATCAAGGAAGCAAAAATGCAACAGAGTTTTGGGTGAACCGCAGTGTCGTTATTGTCAAACACATGGAATCTTGTGCAGCACCACAAAGCCTCGCAAGCAACGACTATACGGCAGCGATGAGACCCTCCGAAACAGACTCACTCTTCTGGAATCTCTAGTCAAGGGCCTTGTCCCAGATGCCAATTTGTCCAGCAACGATGAAATGGTGAAGTTGGGCAAATCGCTAGGGATACCGCTCCCTATTGGTGAGACCGCTCCTGACGCGGAAACAAAGCATGCGACTTCCGTTGCACAAGAGGACGAATATTCCCTTTCCTTGTTTCCGGATCAACAGGGCCAAATTCAATACATTGGCCCGTCGAGCTCTTTTGAATTCCATCGCAAGCTGCGCATGCTGTTAGGCAGCTATGTAAACTTCGAGTTTACCATGTTCGGCCGCAATGCGGCAGACCAGTCCACTATATCCGAGACGTCAGCCATCTGTCAAACGGGCAGTGGGAAAGATCGACGAGGAAATGGAGAATTGGGCAACGTACTAAACGATTGCAGCTCACTCTCAAACCTTGTAAGGAAGCATGATGGACCAGTTTTGGATGCGCTGGTAGACGCCTACTTTGATATCATCCACTCTGATTTCCCAGTGCTGCACGAAGCTTCATTTCGAGAGGCATATGAAATTTGGTCAGCAACAGGTTCCACCACAGATCCCGCTTGGCTTTGCGGCTTATTGTGTGCCCTCATTTTGTCTCGGCGTGTTGTTGCTATCGTAGTGCCGGGAGATGTAGAGATGAGGTGGTGGCGATATGTACAAGCACTGCTTCCTGCCGTGTTATTTACAACAAATCTTTCTACTATTCAGGCCCTCATGCTATCTGCTTTACATCTACACAATACAAATCATCGAGATGCCTGTTGGAACCTTACCGGAATAGCAGTTCGTGTCGCCTTTGCCGTTGGTCTTCATCGGGACGAGATTAAGCACCTGCAAGGCCCTCTTCGAAGGGAGCTTGGGAAGCAGCTTTGGTGGACTCTATATACCTTTGAGCAAATGCAAGTCTCGTCTTACGATCGGCCCAGCGCCATTGGGGATGTTGCCATATCTACGAGCCATCCCAATGAAAGAATTATAGGATTTGCCGGACACTATCCGCAAGACTTAATGAAATGGTCGCAACAGTTGGCCGTACTGTTAGCATCAACATGCAAGGCGTTGAACAGAGCAGGGACAGGAATCATGTCCGGTGAAGAAGCCTACAGCAAGCCCCTCTCCCCAGAAGCTGGCATTTTACGGGACCTTAGTCGGTGGAAAGAAAGACTGCCACAGCACTTGCGCCTCGAGGTTGCTGATTCGCTTGCACCATCCTATCAAAGACCGGTTCTTCTACTTCACGCGCAATTTAATTATATAGTTGTCCTGATCTCCAAACCCGCACTATGGCGTAGAGCGGTGCTCCTATCCAGAGATTATAAGGAAACATTTCCTCAGAATTTACACACAGTATCAGAAACATGCGTTGACTCCGCGCGAACCTTGGGCCGGCTGATGCGAAAGTTGGAAGCCTTCAGCCAGTTTAACGCCTTGACCTGGTGGGATATTTTCTATACGTTGATAAGTTCAATGGTCCTGGTTTTAGACATTCTCTACAGTGTCAAGAAACATGGATCTCGCTCTTCTCCCGATTCGCAAATTCTCCTTCGAGAATTGGCGGAACTTGTAACCAGACAACTCCAGAACCCAAGGATGCCTGGCACCATGCGGACGTGGGCTATAGTTGTGACCGACCTTAGCTCGATAACGGATAAGTTTGGATCTATAACTCAATCTTGTATTGGCTCGAGTGAGGGTTCTGGGAATTGGCATCAATCTGACGCAGGCAGTCCATACACATTTCCGAAAAACCCAATAGGAACTAGTCCAATTGAGCCCATCACTTCCGATGATTTCAACCTTACATTTTCCCCAGTTGCTTCCAGATTGAACAACAAGATGTGGTCAAGTGAATAAGCCCATGGTTTGATTTCAATCTTAAATCCCCGTGTCATAGTCTTGTCTTTCGATTGCTAATGTTCCGTCTTCCTTTGAGACATCGATAACATTACCCATTAGCATCCCAGTTATATAGCGGATGTCTGCAGCCGACCGTTAATCCAATGGCTAAAACTGGAAAAAGGAGTCGAAGAAATGGCCGGTAAGATGTCCCATGAAGGTTGGCATATATGTCCAAGGGTAAGTTGCAAATAGCCCAAATTTCTATTAATATATTAACCTCTGACTTGGCCTCTTCAAGGCTTATTATGTCACTGTTGACCGGTTCATTTTACTGGCGAACCTTGAACCCGGCTCCGGGAGTATTGGTAGGCTAATTCGTCACGAATTCTGCACGGCACACCAAGAAGAACACCGCCACCTTAAGAGATTGATGTACAAAAGAGCGTCTGCCACATTCGCCTTGTGTATGGAAGACAAATTCTGGGGCGCTGAGTGCGGAGCAGGGGCATGTTAAGGCGGTAATCAATACGCATGACGCAAGTGGGTCTGGAATTCCCGATTCCTGTCAGTTCGCCGGGAAATATCAGGCGATTAATTTTAACTTACACATGGGTGTGTGAACGTTGCTATAAGGCGCGGGATGAAACGTTCGACCCGCAATTATTTTCCGAATCGCTTTACGCAAGGCAATTTTAGGCTGCTTGCTGTTCATGATGTGGGATGAACATTGAATTTGTTATAATTTCCTGGGAAGGTCAGTCTGCTCGTTAAGCTGCACGTCACCGTCTAGCAAAGGGATTAAAATATTATTCGTGGGGCTTGGATCCTTTATTTTGACAACCATTTATTGCTGCCTTTCTTTTCAGCTTTTCTTTTTTTTTCTTTTAATGGTTTCCTTTTTGGTGGCAAAGCCGGAAATTCTTTTTAGATTCAAAACTAGCTACCGCAGCTCTCAATGTTTGCGGTGTCATTAATCGGGCCCTTCTCTCACTTTCCCTTGGAATAGCTTTGTTCATGTCTCCCTCACGTAGCGGTTGTCACATATACTTGAACCGCATGTTTCCGGATCCCAAGTCTAGAATCTTGTGGGATAAAGTAAATAATGGGTTGGGCATGCAGTGCAAATGATCAGACTTACACCAAGCGCGACACCGCGACTAGTTGACTACCTCTTTTTAGCCCGTGCTACTAAGCAGAGCATGATTTGTTTCTTCACAAGAATGAAATAGTTCACTCCCCGAACGCGCTTCCGGAAACATGCATCCGGCTAGCAGGGGAGCGCAATGCCAACGAAACAGTGCCTCTGTCCTGTAACGTTGACATATCTCACTCACTGACTTAATTTGCGAAGTTTTTGGTCTACCACAGCAGATTCGAGAAAAATGATATCTAGAGCTCGCTAGCGATTGAACCGCAATGATCTAGTCGAATACCGGGCTCGAGAGCAAAAGCTGCGACGGCCCTGGCTGGTGGAGCCCGAGGTTAGAGGAATAGGAACGGTGGAGCGCCTCAAGGTTCTAAATTGTTTATATGCTCCACCGCTGTGGAATGTTTTAATACTTTGTTTGAGGAGTCCAACATCCGATCATGGCTCCATATTCTGTTGCCATCATTGGCGCGGGCATTGGTGGCCATCGGTCTCCGAGAACAGAATGTGCCCTGAAAAATCTATGAAGCGGCCCCGCGATTCGATGCTGTTGGCGCAGGCATTGGGATGGGTCAGAACGCGTTGAAGGCGATGGAGCTCATGGACAGGGATTTTTGCACGGATGTATGATGGGATCAAGATCGGGAATGTATACCCGGAGAAGCTGCATGAGCAGTGTGAGATCTTTGAGTGCCAAGCAGGGATTTGGAGCTGTAAATGGTTGGTATAATGGACCAGTTTCACACCCAAATTTCGAAAGGACCAGTGCACATCAGAAAATTCTTCTAGAAGTGATGAAAGGGCACAGTGGAGTTTAATAAGCGAGTGACACGGGGCTGAATACATAGAAGGCAAACAAGAACATTTGACGTTTTCTGACGGCGAAACTATATCGGTGGATGCTGCCATTGGTTGTAATGGCATCAAGAGTATTACCAGGAGAGTGGTTTTGGAGGAAAGATACTCAGAGGAAGTCAATGCGAAATGCTGCAATACCTATGTGTACAGAAAAATCTGTCCCATGGGAGAGGAGAAACGGATGATCGGGTCTCTGGCTGAAAACGCAAAATGGTATATGCGCGAAGGGTGAGGATGCGTGATGTATCCTATCTCAAAGGGAGAGGAGGTCAACATCGCTGTTATCAAGGACGAGAATCCCTGGCTGGGAGAGCAGCATGACGGTGCAAGTTTCAAGAGAAGAAATGCTGTCCGATTTTCGATGGTTTCGATCAAAGACTCAAGACGCTGTTGGATATGAGTCCCCCTTCTTTCTCTTGGGGCAGCAGGTTGACATTTGCGAGGCCTCTCTCGTGCCCCAAGAAATGGAATCATTATCTAGAGGCTAATCGGTAATGCACAGAACACGAAACCTTAAAGATGGGCCCATACTCCATCATCCAAATCCCTCGATCTACTGCAACGGCCGTGTTTGTCTCCTCGGGGATTCAGCGCATGCCTCGAGTCCTGGTCAGGCAGCGGGCGCTGGACAAGGATGCGTTAATCTTATCCAGGCTCCTCGGTCTGGTAACGAGTCCGGACCAACTTAGCTGCCTTCCAAGTGTACAATTCCATCCGCCAGCCACGGGCCCAGGCTGTGGATACAGAAACTTACAAACTTCGCCAACAAAAGGGTGTCCGTTGATCTGGTTCTATGACTTGGGTGCCGATGTACAGGGGGCTGAGGATCGGTTTAAAGAGTTGACCACGAAGGATTAGGATTAATCTTTCTTATCCTACGGGAGGGAAATCGACAAAGCCAGTGAGAAATTGTCAAGAACAGTTGATGGTGGAAAGATTGAGCCACCCGCTAGATGCGGAGGTTGAGTTTCAGTCACTGTGGTTCGCTGTGGTTGGCTGTGGGGCTTAATCGGCTAGAATGGATATTGTTAACCTAGAGAGCTTTTTTCTTTCGTTCCGAACGATGAAGCAGAATTGAATGTCACCATCAAGCCCTATTTGCTTAACATTTGAATTGAATGCTCATGTGCTCCAAGAGGTGCTCCATGTTCTTCAGCAGGCTCTCCATGCTTCAAAGGGAAAAATTCCCAGCTAATCCCATGAGCTTGAAGGTTTACCCCAAACAATTCCGCTCTCCAGTTGCTTGCTTTGCTGTCACTCGACGACAACGACATGACTGAAGCTTACCTTCCTCTGTAACGACTGGGCCATCTTCCGAACACGATCGTAAAGATGACAAGGTGTACCGTGAGGCTTCGGTTCCACCTCTGCCCCAACGCCATGAAGATAGATTAAAACAGCCATCTCCGGATCGTAATAGCTTGCCAACGACAGCCTCTTGAACCGTCACGTTGTCTGGTCGTTGAAACACAGAATGGCTTCTTTGCCCTGGCACAGCCCCAACAAATGGAAGCCAGCATCCGCCGATGCGGGTAAATGTTAGCCATACAGCGTGTCCTGACGGGGCAGAAGCAGACGGAGAGTCTGAACACATCACACATAATAAACATCATAAACCTTCTAGAACAGCAGTTAATGACAGAAGCTGTCGTTGACGACTTTTGATCATTGCACCCGGCTCAGAGATTTGGTGTGTAGGAGAGGGTGGGTTCCAGCACGGGGAAGAGTAAAGACCGGAAATGCCGGATCTTCAGACTGGGTTGTTTGTTTGGACTGAATCAACTAAAGTGGTTGCCCCTGGACCTTGGAGGAAAGTTTGAGATTGGGAGATCTTGTTAGAGGCAATTTTAGCTAGTTAGTTTGGGGGAATAGGAAATGCTTTAGCAAGATCTGACCCTCGGTAGGGTTGTGTCAATCTGGCCAATAATAGTTAGTTAGTAACTAGTTATCAGTTATTGGCTTTTCCAAAGGATTGTTCCCACAGCTCCCTCTTACACCTGAATGGGCGTTGACTCTCCAACGCACAACGACAGCAGGATGCTGGGGCTCTAACGATTAATAACTGACTGATTCGCTTACGGGCTCCAGCCTTATCAGCTTGTAGAGGCTTTCGGTTTTTAGCATCACAAAACTGCGCTGGTTCTCTGGCTCCTCGTTCTTCCCTTGTAAACAACTGGGCAACATGGGAGCCCAGAGTAAACTGGGATGCAGCTCACGACAACGTCTGAGAGAACCGCAGCCCGTATGTTTCCGAGTTTGGGCTTGTCGATGGTTTATAGCATGGATAAATAGAAGGTCTAAGGCTGCTTCCAGTATTTTCTTGATATGGGGTGTGTTTTTGATTGAGAATAGCGGTTTGAATGAAGAAATGAAGAAACTAGGTGATGAATCTCATCCTTCAGTTCCTAAGGCATCATCACATCGCATGTCAGGTAGGTGTATTTCTGGCGTTATGTTTTGGTGTTAGAACAAGAATTATGCACTCCGATGATATCAGATGGGGAGCAGCAGTCCCAGTCAGGGCAACAAACGAAAGCCAGCAGGCAGGAAGGAAAGGAAGGAAGAGAAGGGGGGGGGGGGGGGGGTGGTATGAAAAGATGGTCTCTACGCTCCTTTTAGAGAGAAGTAAATGAAGGCGTTTAATGCATTGATTTGCACAGGGGTACGTCGTAGATCTGGTTGACTTTTGGATTGACATTTGGACTGCGATGAACTTCTGCAGATGAATAGTTTAGATGATCAATACGCCTGAAAACGGGAATATATGAATATTCCATAGAGCAAGGCGAATATCATTCGAATTTGCTCAACAGTTAACGAGCCTACAACATAGGCTACTTATGCCATAGATATATATAACATAGCTGCGACTCTCTTGAAATCGATAGGGCCGGATGCAGCGCGAAGATTTTTGGCTGTCAGAAAGGGGGCTTTCCCCGTCCCCTTCTTGATTGGCTGGCCGGGGTGGAGAGTTCAATCTCCACTGCCAAGAACCACTCATTAATTAGCACCGGCCACGGCCAAGATGCGACGGGACAAGGCCCTCAGCGGGGGTTCCCGTTATGCTTCCCAGGCAACTCCAGGCAACTCCGGGCGGGGCTGGGGTGTGGTAATAAGCCGCGGGGGGGGGGGGGGTGGTGTGGCATCAGCCGCGAGCGCCAGCCCAGTAAGCACAGCCCGTCGTCGCAAACAAGCCTGCGATGCGACCGGGAGGTACATATCCCATACCCTGCATTGCCACACAATCCCCCCGCAGGCAACAAGTTGCTGTAGGTCACTCCCTGAACACTACCTGGCCACTACCTGGACACTACCTGACCACTACCTGACCACTACCTGGCTACTACTACCTGGCCACTACCTGAACACTTCCTTGTCGCTTAAAGAGCAGGCCTGGCCCCCCCCCCCCGTGTCTCCTTGCCGCACCTTCATTCCTCTCCCCCCTTCTTCCGCTTCTTCTCTTCTTTCTCTTCTTTCTCTTCTTTCTCTTCTTCCTCTTCTTCCTCTTCTTCCTCTTCCAGCCGTTGGTTCATCTTCATCTTCTTCCTTGTTGCATGCTCTCTCTCCGTCCATCTGCCTTGAGCTTTTTACTACAGATACCGTCCAGCCCCTGGGGATATATAAACTTTTTGATCAACCTCCAGAACCGGAATCCAAGTCCACCACCTCATGCAACATCATCTGCCTCTGGGCTGCCAATCATGAGATGAGTGTGGCTGGCTTCTTCTCCTCCTCCGGCTTCAACTGCTCCTGAATATATATCCCTCTGCGGCCTGGCGGTTGCACACGTTCGTTCCAACTTCTTTTCAATTGTTCCCCTAACGTTTCGTCCGTTGCCTGTCTTGTTGTGCTCGTTTTTCTTGGACCCGCCGTTGACTGGCACCCAACCCAAAACATACTTCCAAATCCATCGATAAACACCAAAAAGCACCCACCTCTCTTATTTGTATTGCCAACCGCCCAAAGAATTCAGCTATACATTTTCTGCTGAGAGATTATCAATTTTAGCTGGCGCTGGATATTCATATTTACGTCGTTTGCTCTGGTTTTTTTTTTAATCTGGTTTTATAAACTGGCTTTATTGAACCTTTTCACCATTCTGTTTGTTTTTCCCGTCCAGCTATTGAGACATTTATTATCTATAAGCCGTCGCCATGGCAGGCCCTCATCCACAGCTCAGTAAGCATACTGCATTACTCTAATCCAAACCCCCATTTTGCGTTTATTTCCATAGACAATATGTATATTAACTCCTTGGCTACAGTCTACGGACGCTCCCTCAATAACTTCTTCCGTCGATGCGTCCTCCATTGCCCTTCAGAGCCCCCTCCCTGTCCCGAGTGTGGCAAAGGTGAAACCTGCTCTTTGATCTCCCAGTCCTGTAACGCCTGCCAGAGCACTGTCTGTATCTCCGTTGCCTCTGTGGGCGGCGGCAAGGGGATCGAAAAGCCCAGTTCAAAATCAGATACAGGCGCCATTGCTGGTGGGGTCCTTGGTGGTCTGGCGGTGGTCACCGTGGTGTTCCTGGCGTGGTTCTACATTCGGAAGAAACGGAGGAGTGCTGCGCAAAGCCAGCAGTGGGAGCCTGAGGGCTACGAGAAGCAGCCAGATGCATTTTTCATGAATAGCAGGGCTCGACAGTCTGCTGCGGGCTCCATTGCCTCCACCGTCCTCACCCGCGCATCCAATGTCATCCAGATCGCCTATATTCCAGGTGTCACCAACCGCTCTCCACCAGATACCCCGGGTGTTCTGGTTCCTCCTGTTCCTCCACTCCCCACTGCCGCTGGAAGCACCTGCAGCCAAGATCAGCACTTCTTCATCCCCGGGGATATCCGCGACTCGGTTTGGTCTGAGATGACAGAGGATGACTGCAAGAGCATCAGCCCTAGTCTCGCACGCAGCAGCGTTGCTACTACCATCTACCGCAACAATGCCATCGTCAGCCCCGTTCCCGCTCAGCAGGCTTTTCGTGCCAAAGCCGCTGTTGTCAGCGTCAAGCCTGGCACCAGCAGTCCCTCCGATACTTCTCGTTCTTCGACCCCTGCTGTCCCTCCCATTACTGCTTCCCAGATAGTCAAGGCCAAAGCCGTGGCAGCCAAAACAGTAAATAATATCAACAACATAGACAAGAAGGAAAACAAATACTCTGGTTCAATCGTTTGCCCGCTCTATGGTTGCACGCCCCATCAACCTCACGAAGTCGCATCGAAGCAAACCCAATACAATCTCCGAAGTCGATGGAACGTCCAACCCTAAGATCATCATCCCACAAGAAAATTACGAATTGGATGGCGAGTCGCAAGATGGACCAGGATCTGGAAAAGTCCTTGTCGCGTCCAGTAATAATAACAGTAAAAATCGCCAATCTGACGAATCTGTCGCCGTAACTGATATCGATGATTCTCCTGCCACCAAGCAAAGCCCGTTTGATGATCCCCAGCAGAGATCAAGCCCTCCATCCACCATTCCAGAGGAGGGGGAAAGCCTCACATCCGTCTCGAGCCACGACCACCAAGATTCATACCCTTTACATGAGCAAAGATCACAGCCAGATCCCAACTCGTCTCTCGAGAGGAGCATGAGCCCTTTTGATGACCGGAATGAAGTTAAGCCGTGAAATTTATTCAAGGCAACCCGCCGGAATATTTATGGGTTATCTTTTCTTCTTTTTGGATTTGTGAGGACTGTTTTTGCTTGAGAAGGAAACGAAAAAATGAAACATTATGAAAACTTCTAATGCAAAACTGCTCCTCGCATTATCCTGCGTTCCTGGAATTTTTATCATTTGGAAAGAATTACGGAACACCTTAACGATTGATGGGGAGTAATGATCCCAGAATCCTGGGTTGGGAATATATAAAATGGCGTATCAACATGGGAAATCAAAGGGGTTTGGGTTTTCTTGGATTCTCTTTATTTAAGTTCAGTGCATCTTATGTTCTTTATTTTCCTTCATATTCTTCTTTTGATATCTTTTCTTTAGTCCAACAAATCCCCAACTTCAATTTTTCAACATTCGGTGCACGCTCTACCTCGTTTTTTATATCTCTTTATCTTGCTTGTTTCACCCAGACGTTTTGGTTCCTCACTCAACCAACTTTTCCTTGGCCGTTTACTATATTGTTTTTTTTTGAAGACAAGGTGTCTTTTCTTTATCTGACGATGGATTTTACCCGCGTTTGGATTGAATATGTATATGTATATATATGTATATACCTATATATCTATCATGATACCAAACGTAGCGAGGGATGCGCTGAATGATCCCTTGATTGTATTACTCTCTGATTTTCTTACCCGCTCAAAGTATTTGTCTGATGTCTTGTCATAGCCACGAGAGAATATGATATTTTTTGGGCCAATTCGCCAGAATTTGCGCTATTAAAATGCCCGAGTAAATCTTGGGGTGCGAATAAAGAAGCGGGACACGTTTTATCGGCGAAATACTGGCCAGTCAACACTCAATTGGGACCACCTGTAAGCTAATATGATACACTTGATCTTGTTTCACTTCCAAATACCATTCCGTGGTTCCCCTGAGATGGCTTGGACCAACCGTGCTTTTATCGTTAGCATCTACGGTTTACCAGTGGAAAATGTGGTGAGAAGGTTGGAAATTTGCCCCGTGCATGCATGAATCTTCCTTCCTGCATAGAAATTTAGAAAGGTATAGATTGCATTGCAGCTTACTCTCCCTGCTAGGGATACCTACCGTTGAACTAGGTCATTGACAAGGTGAAAGATCTTGCTTGAATAAAGAGGTCAAGAGTACTGGAGGCGCCTTATGGGACCCTCATACTTCGTGGACGAGAACAACCGAAGATATGTAATTTCTGGTAATGTTGATTGAAAACTGCATACGCAAGTGGAATGATTAAGCGTTCGGCCCTTTCAATATGTGAGGACTCATACAGTGGGTTTCACGTCATTTCGGTCCCACCCTCCACCCGCAAAGGAATTTAATAATGGGAATGAGAAACGATTCTGTGGCGAAGTGGGTGGTATAATTGACAATTTCACCCCCCCCCCCCCCTCCACATTGAGACCTCTAAGTGGATTAGAAAGAGGCAAAATAGAGAGTGGGATACTAATATAGAGAGAGGTGAAAGAATAGAGATAGAACATCACAACTTTTACTAATTAATTAAAATATATTTTTCTTTTTAAATATTAAGTTAACAATAGTTTTTAATTAAGTGCGATTGTCCTCGAATTATCTAGAGAATAAATTTAAATTTAAATAAAATTATTATTTAAAAATAT